AACAAGCGGGTAGTCAAGATCCCAATATTTTAAAGCCAGCAGAAGAAACATTACAAAAATGGGAAACTGAAAGGGGATTCTATACTGCATTATACGTAAGTTACATAAATAAACATGTTAAAAATTTAATTAAACCATAAGAAAATATAAATTTATTCATAATCATATTGGTACTGAAGAATGTATCATAGAATATTTGTACATTCATTTTTTCATATAAAATTATTTTAGGTTATGAAAAGGTTTTATTTTTATACCCTACAGCAGTATAACAATCAGATGATAAGTACACTAATAATAATTGTTTCAGAATGTATTTTCTAATCATTCCTTAACTATCAATATTAGATGGATGGCTATTTTATATTTTAAAAATGGTGTTGATAGGTATTGGAGGAAGCAAGCTCCAAAGTAAGTATACTCTAATGTAAGAAAAGGAATTTCTTAGACAACGTTTAATAGCAAACTTTGATGAGCCTGTAAATCAATTAGCTGTGCAATTGGCAGCACTTATTGCTAAAATTGCAAGGTAATTAATATTTATTAAAGAGTATATACCTGTTTTTTCTACAATGTATGAAGTAATTAAGTGAAGTAATATTGTCCAGATATGATTGCCCTAGAGAATGGCGTTCATTAATTCCAACATTATTGGATGTTATAAGAGGACAGAATCCTTTGGCCCAACATCGGGCACTGTTAATATTACAACATGTTGTTAAGTCTTTAGCTTCTAAACGTTTAGCTGCAGACAGACAACTCTTCCAAGAATTAACTATTAATGTGTTCGGTTTTATTCTGAATTTATGGAACACTTACACTGAATCTTTTCTTATAATGGCATCAAGTGGAGCAGACACAAATCAGACACAAGAAGCTTTAGAAAAAGCATTACTTCTATTGAGAATACTTAGGAAACTAATTGTACATGGATTTAATAAGCTTTCAGAATCTCAGGATGCTATGTCATTTTTAGAAATTGTTTTCGAACGTGCAAGAACTTGTCTTGAATGCCGTTAGTATTTTTATTTTTTGAGAAAACCATGAAATTAGTTACATATTTATCTCTTTTAAAAATGCAAATTTTATATAATTATAGGGAAAACATTAATTTCAAGAGGTATACAGATGGAAGTATGCGATAAATTTATAATTCATTTGACCAAAGTATTATTAGGTGTGTTAGAAATGCATCCATTGTGCTATGTGGAACTAATACCAACAAGCTTAGAATTTTCTGTTTTTTACTGTTTCACTGAAACTGGTCAAGCTCTAACTTTTGAAAGATTTGTTATACAATGTTTAAATTTAATGAAACATATTGTATCATCTACAGATTATAGATTAACACCTAAATTTGTTGAAGGTATATATAATTATTTACCATTATATAAATTTATGGATTTAATTCTTAAGCCTGGAAATTTATTTATAGTTTGTAATGCAGATACGAAAAATCCATTAATGTTGAGAGCTAATCAATTAAAACAAGAATTTTTTACACCTGAAATATTAACTGAAATCTGTTCAAGACTTGTAACCCATTATTTTCCTCTAACTCCTGCTGATTTAGAATTATGGGATACTGATCCAGAAAATTTTGGTAAAATTTGTATATACATTATAAAGATGTACATACATCCATTTTTTTTTTTTTTTATAATTCGTAATTATATTACATATCACATTAATTTCAGTTGTCGATGATAGTAGTGAATCATGGAAATACAGCTTAAGGGTAAATATTTTAAATGCCACTACTTAGAAGTAATGCATAGTTATAACATTACACACGTGCATTTATTTTATAACTGATGTTTTACTTTTAGCCTTGTTCGGCGTCCTTATTTTCAGTAATCTTTCATCGTTTTGGAGATGTTCTTGCATCAGTCTTGGTTGAATTAATGCAAAGACATCACCAACCATGTGATCCAAATAATTTACATGCTATTCTATTAAAAGATGCAGTATACAATGCAGTTGGTTTAGTTGCTTTTGACTTATATGATGAGGTAAAATTGAAATATTACAAAGAAACCAGTATAGGCAATCAGTCATCAGTTATCATATTTATGTGTATTAGGTAAATTTTGATCAATGGTTTTCAACTACTTTAAAAGAAGAACTGAAAATTCGAAGTAACAATTACCGAATTATTAGAAGACGAGTATGCTTACTTATTGGACAGTGGACAAGTAAGTAAATTGATTAATTTTGATTACAAAGATATATGAAATTTATTACATCATAATCTTTCTTTTATTTTTACACCGCGGTTGATTTAAGGCAATAAAATTACAGATGTAAAATTGAGTGCAGAACTAAGACCAGAATTATATGAACTTATGGTCGAAGTTTTGAGTCCTGAAGAAGATTTGGGTGTTCGTTTGGCAGCAAGTGATGCTTTGAAACTTGCAATAGATGATTTTCAATTTAATCCAGAAGAATTCTCTCCCTTTTTAGAGCCAGTATTTTCTTTATTATTTTCTCTTTTAAAGGAAGTAAAAGAATGCGATACCAAGGTATGCTGTTGTATGTTACTTTCAAAATTTGTTTTATTTCAGAAAAACAGTTTTTTTTTCATTATTTTTAGATGCACGTTTTATACGTATTATCATTTATGATAGAACGTGTTGGTAGTGAAATAAATCCTCATGTTGGAACTCTCAGTTCATATTTACCAGCACTGTGGCAACAATCTGAAGAACATAATATGTTAAGATGTGCTATAATTTCAACACTTGTACATCTACAAAAGGTAGGCACTTGTACTATTTAATTCATTACGTTTTGTTTAGGGTTTTAACTAATGATAATATTTTGATTATTCATATAGGCTTTAGGTCCCGAAAGTGTCGTTATACAACCATTGGTAGTAGCTGTTATTACATTAAGTTCTGATGTTAATCAAGATTGCCACGTTTATCTGTTAGAAGATGGGTTGCGGTTATGGTTAGCTTTATTGGAAAATACACCTGCACCAACACCAGCTATAATGGATTTGGCTAAAAATTTACCGGCATTGTTAGGTTTGTAAATATTTTCACTTATTTTGATTAATGATTTTATAAATATTCAGAAAATTTAAAATATGATTTTTCAGAACAATCGATCGAACATTTAAAATTATATTTGTACATAGTTCAAGCATATATAATATTAAGTCCTCAAGAATTTTTAAGTCAAAGGGGAGCAGTTATAATCGAAACGCTTAGGTCACTTTTAGGAGATTTGAACATAGATGGAACAATAATGACACTGACGGTATTTGAATTATGCTTATGTGCTTCACCTCGGCAAGGTGCAGAGCTCATTAAACCTGTTTTAATAACTATATTTGAGTGAGTATACCTATTTGAAATTATTAAAACAAATTATACACGATAATATTTATTTTAATTTTGATAGGAATATATATAGGGGGGAGGAGATTATGTTAATTATGACTATGCATTTATCTATTGCGGCAAGAGTTTTATGGTTTTATAAAGATATTTTTATACAGGTATTAAAATTTAATGCACTTTATCATTTATTGATTGATTTATTAATATAGTTGGTATAAATATAAATATTATTTATTGGTATATGTATTTATTATACAGGTAATAAGTGAAGTAACTAAAAAAATGGGCGGGAATGAAGACAAGGAAGAAGCTGTACTTGGACAAATAATAAAGATATGGGTTCGTAAAATGCCATATATTTCTCAACTGGAAAGACGTAAATTATCAGCTCTTGCACTTTGTTCTCTTCTTGGAGCTAATAGCCCTCCTAGTGTTCTTCAGCATTTTTCATTAATCATAACTAATATTGTCGAAACTCTTAATGACATAACCCAATTGGATGATATAAGATGTGAAAATATAGGATATGCCATTGAGTACGTAGAAAATGATTATAAAAATTATTTGCAATGATAAAAAATAATGTTGCAATAAAAACGAATGTTGTCTCTTATTTTAGGTCTTTGTCGATTAGTGGGCAATCTAGTCCATCACAATATGAGGATGAAGAATACGGAAATAAACACGAACAGCGGAAACGAAGACTTGACTTCAACGATCCTTTATCTTGTATATCTTTGAAAGATACTTTTCAAAACCAGGTAAAATAAAAGTTCTTTATTAATAAATATTGATACTTACAAATTACTCAAAAAACTTTTTATATTTTTTATTTCAGTTACTTACGTTACGCAGATTAATTGGAGATAACCAATTTAATCAATTGATGTGTACTCTTGTTGCTCCAATTGACAAAGAAATCAAACTTTACGTATCTTTATGAAAAAGGAGCAAATCGAATTAAAGGAGGAAAATAAAATATTATGTCAAACGCGATACTACGTGTAAAAAAAGCTTTATGGCGCTCTATTGTAAAACGGCACTATTTTATTGTATTATACTAGCTGTTTCACTGTACTAATAATGTTGATAATAAAAGACCTGTCATTTCATGTTTATTGATTACCTATTTACCTTAAATAAAATTACACTTGTAGTTTTATTATGAAAATGTTATTGTGAGAAATTATATTCCATATAAAAATCGAATAATGTGAATAATTTAATACTGTAAAATTATATTTGTTTCATTCTAATAAATATTTAAATTATTTCAATATAAATTCAACTTGTTTAACCTTTTTTGCACGATGCGTGTTTGCAAGTGATCGTTGTAAATCTGTGTGCTCGCTTGTATTTACTCACGCACTACTTTACACTGTGTAAATGTAAGACAAAAACTCGCAAGCAATACACGGGTGAAACTCGTTTGTTTGTACTGAGCTTAATATTATATATTAAATCATATTCTTTCTGAGTACATTAGTAGACACGGGCATTTCTATTTTATCGTTTTTCCCGCTTTTGGTGCTTATGATTTATACGCGGTAGGAAGAGCAACCTAGCGTCGTTGTTATAAACTCCAAACAGCTGTCGTCTGTGTCAAATCGTAGCAGGGGGTTAGCTCGATTCTTGTTTCAAACAGTGTACTGTTCTCACTAAATTGAGGTACGGTGAGTGTGTTAAAACAAATTGTATTTATTACTTTCCTTAAAATTATTGTTTTTTATATTTTGCGCAAGAAAATATTTAAATTGGTTCGTATATTAGTTACACGGATGAAGTGCACGTATATTCGATTAGTTGGTACATTTGCTTGACATATTCATCGATTTTATCCATTTTTCGTAAGCATAATGAAAAAACATTCATGGTATGGTATTATCTACTTACAAATTATAAGATGAATCTAAAGTGAAAACAAATATCCAGAAGACGCCATGTTCACTACTGGTTACTAACAGCAACATCTGTGATTGGTTATACGGTATTATTGTTATTATTGTGATTTCAAATTTCGTTTTTTTAGACGTTATTAGAAATTTAGGCGATAGTCACAATTCAAATGCATAAAATTAAAATGTGAACGAAGTTGTAATAGTAATTAGTTTTTTCTTTTATTAAACCTTCATAATATTGCTGTTTCTAGATGCATATGTACGTTACTCTTTGTAGTTTCGTTGTTTTGAAATACATATTTAATAATCATTCACATAGGCATCTGTAATCATTCGATAGTCGTTAGTAACAGTTTAGTTGTGAATAATTTAATATTTGTTGATAATCACAGCAATACGCATGTAAAGTGCGTGATATGTGTTTTTCTCGCTCTCAGAATTCTCATTGGACACAAACGAGAGCCATTCACTTTTTATTTGAATTCTGTATCCACTTTAATATTGATATTCTGTTACCAAGTTTGTGTAAAAATTGTGATTAATGTGAAAAAATTAATATATAAAAGTAACTATTGTTGCTTGCTTTATATTAAATTACTATAAATTTATTTTGCAAAGAAAAATTTATAGAGTTGAAACAAATACTTATTTGACTGAAAATTGACTATCTTCATAATTCTAGATGTTCCTATGGAATTAATTATAGATAAGTCCGTATGTGTATGTGTTTATCTTTGTTAGCATAGATTACCGATAAATGATTGATATTAGCAGGTGATGTAATTAAGGCACACTATTTGTTTTTAATTTGTGTGCATCCTTATTGTAAATACACTTTTGTTAAATAATAAACTAACAGGTACAATAGGGCAAAAATAGATATATGTAGTTATTTGGTAATGTGAAATACAAAAGTCGCGAATAGGTTAGTTTTTCATAGGTACATATATACACACATACATATGTATGCATGCATTTTTGTAACCAAATTTTTTGTACGTTAGATTCATTTTTTTTGTTTTCAAGTTTCGTTTTCGATTCAGTTTTGTGTTTTAACATTCGAAATTTAATTTTTTTTAAATATTTAAATATTTAAATGAA